AAGTTGGTACATTACGCCTGTCAACCTCCGTTGCTTACAGCAAAATGAAAACGAAACGAAGTACACCATAAAAAGAAAAAAGCAGAAGATCAGGCTCTTATCTCTTGCTCAGAGGCACTTTGCTAATATTTGAAGAAGCAGTTAGAGAGATGAAAGCAGATGAAACGAGACCTACAGGATTCAAAAACAAAAAAAAAGCTGACTTTGTTCTGTCTCTCTTACGCACCCTGACTGTTAAATCGGCTTTCTAAAATTTATATCTGAAGGCACAACTCACACATTAATCATTATTAGAGTGCGAACACCACTTCTTTGCTGCAGTCTCTGGGGCAGGATGTTTAAAACCCCTATTTGAAATGTGTGGGATTGAGCCAAAATGCATTGAGGAAATCAATTTTACATAAGAGTGTCTCTGCAGTGCTCTATGTGAGGAGTGTGAGTCTACTGAAAGTACAAAAACCCAATGAACTCTAATACAGAATTAAGAACCGTAACTGTCACCCTTTCACAAAGTCACATGTGCCTGTTAACAAAGAACTAGGAGCTATTAGTGCACCTCATGTATGAATGTATTTGAAGGAAGTTGATGAGTTTGTATTGATTGGTCATGTGGGGAAACAATATCATATGACATTAGTAGTTCGGTGCTACAGTTAGTTTTGCTTAAAGGCTTAATATGCAATTTTTCACACTTAAATGTAATAGAAATCAAGTATATCCTCTGAAAATAACTCTGTGAGTCATGACTGTCTACAATGGCTGTAACACCCGAGTCGCACTGTCTGTGATGCTTTCCGAGTAGTTCCGATGGTTTGTTTAATTGAGGCACTAGAGAAAAGAAGAATAACATCGGCTACTGTACTCACTGCTTAACTGCGTTTCTAGATCACGCTCATTTCGGGTAAATTTACATGCAGTGTTAAGATACGAGCATAATAAAGATCGCTAGCATTAGCATGCTAACACAACAATGCAGCGCAAATGTTTTGGTTTCATGCTGGTGCTCAAGGACGACACCTGCTGGATCAAAAAATCGCATATAAAGTCTTTCAGTCAATATTTTAACCTTTTTTAATAATTACATAATCGTCATTGACATAATTAAGAAAATTGCAAAAACTCATGATAACTGTGTTGTTATGTATAATGTAAAGAAAATCTATAATGCAGGAAAAATAATCTTGTCCAAAACTGATATTAAATACCAACAGTACTGATTTAGGAATAAATCAGTCTATTTTTTGTAAGACCCGTACTACACTGTATTATCCTTCCCCATCAAAATAAAAACTAATTAAAATATATATTTCTTAACATTCATTTACACAAAAAATATATACTTGGTTTAACTTTTGAAATCCCTTTGAGCAGCTTGGGCTGGAAAAGAAAATGACTGTTTTGGGAGCTCTGTTAGCCTAGCAGTTATGTAGTGCGCCCCATGTACAGAGGCTGTAGTCCTGGTCGCTGCGGCTTTGGGTTGGAATCTGACCTCGGCCCTTTGCTGCATGTCATCCCCTACTCTCTCTCCTCCCAACATTTCCTGTCGCTCTTTAGCTGTCCTGTCCAATAAAGGTAAAAAGGCCAAAAAAATAACTTTTAAAAAGAGAAAAAAGAAAATGACTGCCCTGGTAACATTGTTAATATAGTAAAATTTTAAAAAGAAAGGTGAAACAAGACTGATACGTTGTGTGGTATCATGACAACCCCCCCCCCCTCCCCCTCCAAATATAAGCTCGGACTGTGTGTTCATCCTGAACATACATGACAGAAACACATGTTTATATAAGCCAGCATATGATGATAAGCATGTGTACATGCACAAATCCACATTTACATGGACACACAGTCGTAGGCTGCGGCCATAAAGATCTGTGCAGAGACAATCATCACAGCTGTCCATACACACACAACCCAACAACTGAGTGTGTGTGAGTTTGTGTCAGTCTTTGTATCCTGGAGGTGTGTTTGATCTCCTGACACTGATAATGTGATATCCAGCCCTCGTCTTTGATCCCCTCATCACTATAAAACACTGCTGATGCCTGTTAAACACACTCTGCCACTGACACACTGATAGCACTGCCCCGTCTCTCTCTATATGTGTGTGTGTGTGTGTGTGTGTGTGTGTGTGTGTGAGAGAGAAACACACAGAGATTAAAGATACCCTTCTTGACACTACCCTGCAGAGTAAGAGTGAGTTAAAGAACCCTCTAATGACCTGAAGACTCTGAATGGACTGATTTACCAGAAATGACAACCAGAGTTTAGCTTTACTTTGTACTTTATAACATCCACTGCCGTTTGTGTGTATCCATTTTACATGAGATATTTAATAGAAACCAAGGGAGATGAGAAAAGTGATTTCAACAAATGCCCAGCATCCCACAAAACACACCTTAAACCCTAAATACAAATTGTGATAACACTAAAGCAGCGTTCAAAAATGATCAACGATCACTGTATTTGCCTCGAGAGAATATTACAATCTTATAAAAAGTGAAACACATCCTAATTGTTTTGTAATCTGGAAAAAAGAAGAAAGCAGACGGTGAACAACCGATTTGAAGACAAATCAGCTAGGTTGATAATAAAGACATCTTGATCACTGTCTTATTTGCACCAAAGTGTACCATGTAGGTGAAACTTATCAGTTATAAAACATTGTTACAGAACCTTCAGCTACAGAAACAGATAATGTAAGATCTCTCTGAAGAGGAAGGACTTCTTTTATTGACTAGTACAAATGTTTATTTGTGATTATCTATGTTTATATCTTAGGCTACATTTCAATGTGTACTGTCCTCTCTACTAAAAATGTTTTGTTTTTGGTCTTTGTTTAAAAATACGTCCGAAATATCAAAAGAAATGTAAAAAAATGTTGTCACCTTTGTGCATTTTTTTTGTATAATCAAAAGGCATTTTGAAATGCTTTTCAGCTTAGAAAATAAAAAAAAACTTGCCTAGAAAGGAAAGGACATTTTTACCCAGTGAAAAACAACTAGCTTCGTTATTTTTGAATGCTATTAGAAATTTTTATGAGGAAAAATGTCTATTTGATTATATTATAGAAATTATTGTTTTTATTTCTATGTCACTCTCTATCATCTTTCCTGAAGGTTTGCCAGGAAAATATTCAGTCAGCAAGTGTGTGTGATGTTTAAAAACGATGAAGCAAATCACAATTTTGGTAAAAGCAAAAGCATTTAAAATAAAAAATAATGTTTTTTTCTTCTTATGCTATTTCCCATGAAGTCTGCATTGACACTTTGTTATACTTGTGTGCTGGTGTTTTGTATGTGAGTGTTTTTCTATGCCAATAATCATGGATCCAGCTGTATGTGATCACTTTAAAGAGAGCCGGGACATTGTTGAACACCAGCAGAGAACAAACTCTACCGCATGAAGAGCTTGAAGCTGTGTTGAAGGGAAACCAGAGAACAGGGCTGAGGAGAGGAAATCAGAGGAAAGGAGAGGACAGGTGTGATTCACACTGAGTCTTTTTTACAAACCTCGGAGGAGGAACAGAGGAAAAGAAGTAGTACAAAATAAAAGGAAGGAGAATCGAAAGTATAGCAGGGAGCAGCAGAATGGCTCCTGTGTGTGTTCAACATGAATCCCAAACCAACAGGCTTGTTAAAGCATAAGCATATAGGGAGCAGCTTTGTATTTGTCACTTTATAAATATGGAAATAAAGTGTGACTGGCTCTAATTTTATTTCTTGCAGCATTGCCAGCTGTAAAGTGCTTTCTTTTACTGCCAACTTTAAAGTGCTCTTGTCTGGGCTATCATATTTGGCTTAGCAAACAATAAATAGGACTCACATTTCACAAAGTCCAAAAAGACGTCCTCTAAGAAGAAATGTCCTTCCATGACTCAATTTTGGAAGTTTTTTTGGAGTTGTGAACTGGACTTTCAGGACGTCATCTCTAACACTCTGTCCTAAATGATGTTCATTACATATGTTTCTGAAATCAGATCTTTATGACAAACTTTGCACACGTTTATTTACAAATCATTAAACTGGATTTATGTGGATGAGGATATATGCAACAACATCTGTCTGCAGAAGTTGCTGCAGAATTAGTTCTGTCATCAGTAAGAATGTATGTTAATGTTGCTGTTCTCCAACACGGAAGCATGAGAAATATCGATCCACTATCTCGTCCTCTGATCGACTGAGGAGTAAGAGTCAAGGTGCAACACTCGGCTGCACCGGACAAACTCATCAATGGAAAAGATGTCTGGACTGATATACATCGATAGACACTCGATCAAAATTGCATTTCAATCACATCCATGTGTGGCTTTGATCTTACTTGCAAAAGTCTTTCTAAACAATCTTTATGTAATCTGAAGATACCAAACACTGGATTTGTGCCGGTAGTCGGAAGAAGGTCTAACAGTCCTACAGATAAGACTGTTTATACCTTTGATTTGCTGTTTTTGAAGATTACTGTGTCCCAACTATTTACTTCTAATCTATCTATTTTACTAATTCTTAAAGATGACAGATTGCTGTTTTTAGAAATAATACACATACCTTTTAGACTTACAGGAGCTGAACAACACTTTTCACTACATCTTCAAGAATATTATTAATATACCACTCAAGGGAATAGAGAAGTGATTTTCAATAGTTATTTTATGCTTTCTGAAGTGTTCCAGAATACATTTTATTACCACATATGTTAAATGTGATTTGTCTGTGAAGACCTCCTCTATTTTCTTTGTGAATTGCTTTGTAGTTAGATAGTTTCCATAAACACCACAAGTGTGCGTTATGGCACAGGTAAGCACTCAAAATAAAACCAAAAATCACTTTGTGAATTACTATTTTGGAAAAAACACAGCAGCTGCTTTTAGAAATCTTTCATAAACTGACTATATTGAGAAAGTTGTTGCAAAAAGTGATTTAAATTTGAATTTGTAGAGCGGCCTGTTGATTTAGGATTCTCTAATGACCCATGAGGTGAATCTCAGTGCTGATTGGTTGTCACACCTGTCCGTTCCTTCCCGCTGCGTCTCCATTCGGGGTTGTCAAGCAGAATGTAGAAGGAGGACTGCTTATTGTACTCCTCCCGGTCTAAGATCCTAACCGTAAAGGTCTTCCTGTATGAAACACACACGTACACACACATAGAGGGAGGTGGTGAGTGCATGCATGGTACACATACAACATGGCAAGGTATGAACACCAATAACACACTCGACACACACACACATACACACAAAAAGGCAGATGTGGTGGGATGACACAAGGTGCTGCATGTCCTCTGACACATCAGGAGGAAGAGAAACAATAAGAAAGCCTTTGTATTCAGAGTCTCCTCCATGTGTCGAGAACATGCAGCCTCAGCAATATTGCTGACACTCAAGGGGTCAATTCCTTTTCCAGACCTTTGGTGTCATTGCTCTCCACCAGGCGGGGCTCTCCGATCTCTATGTAGAAGATTTTGTTCTTCTCGTATTCCTCGTCGTCGATTACTCTCACCTTGATGGTTTTACTGAAGAGGAGGAGGAGGAGGAGGAGGAGGAGGGAAAAAGAGAATGCAGAAAAGTGAGGAAAAGACAGACTGGAAACTGGAAAACCAAGAGGAAACAGAAAAGAGCAGCAGTTGTGTTTCCCAAAAGTACCTTGCGCTGCATTTAAATATCTTCAATAACGTGTTGAAAATCATCCCACATGGCGGTTTTACCTTTAAGCCAGATAACAGGAGCAACATTTCCACCCCATCTAACTGTAACATCTGATATGCCGTACAGTTTTGATGCTATCAGAAAGTCTTACATCAATCTGAGAAGATCGATCAGATAAACTTGCTCTGCTAAGTCAATTGTAACATAAACTTCTCCAGTCTGCCAGCCTGGGGTCCTGATCAAAGCTCAATTCAGTCTCCCCATCAGCCCAAAAGAAAAATAATCTCACACTGATGCTTGAAGCTGAATCAAGTCTGCCAAGTTGATCAAATGTTTATTCATTTGGGCAGATGAAAGTCATAAATCCTGATGATGGATTTGGCTTGTGCAATCAAGCTACTTTTGGAATCAGCAATTTCAGGATTTAACTGTGCATTGGTTCTTAATTAGACTAGTTAACAATGTAATTAGATGCAGCTACAACGGTTAAAGTCTGAATTTGATAAAGATAGAAAGATGCCTTTGGGAAACCAGAACAATTCACCTTCAGTTCAGCCAACCCAACACTTACTATAAAATAATGCAATATAGCATTATGTTATACAGCCAATGAGTTGATGGTGCGTTTCACATTTTGACTGAATTGAAAGTGAACTGACACCTACTGTTGTCAACAAAGTTAAACAGATCAGCATATAGACATGAAAAGACATAAGAGGAAAAAGAAATCATTCAAGAGCAGAAGCAGCGAGAGGAGAGTCTGAGCAGGAGGTGAAAATAAATCATAAAAGATGTTTGCTGCTGCAATTAACACCTTCTTCAACTTTCATTAACACCCTTTATCAGAAACAGTAAAGACATAAGTCTAACCAGCTCTGGTATAACCATATAACTAACACAGCCAGCTCTTTTTTAACAACTTGTTGTGAAATGTAACATATTTATCGACATGCACATTCTGCTTTCTTTCTCGTTCTAATCCTTTCCATGTGTGACAGAACAACAATAAACCATCAGCCTTTAAACATATTCTGTCAATGAGCAAAAACAAGCCAATGGTTTAACTTTCTAACTCTCTGAAAGCAGAGGGAGAGACACAGAGAGTGTGTGTATGTGTGTGTGTGTGTGTGTGTGACTGTGTGTGTGTGTTTATTTACTGTCGCACTTGGCCTTGCGGTCATATTTGGCGGGGAAGCTAATATCTGAGGTCACAGGGCTGTGGAGCGAGACTCGCCATTCATTTGTGTGTGTGTGTGTGTGTGTGTGTGTGTGTGTGTGTGTGTGTGTGTTACTGCTGTGTGTGAGTCTAAGTGCCTGTGGGCGTGTGCATATGTGCGAATGTGTGTGTTTATCTGTGTTTTCAGGCTGGAACAAACCCTCTTCCCTGATCCAAATCCACTACAGGCCAAAACAAAGACATCTGAGAGAATACTTATAATCTGGCTATAGGGTGAAGAACAAGGACACACACACACACGAAGATGCAAACACACACACACACACACACACACACACACACACACACACAACTAAATCTTAGATAAGGCACTATCTCTTATCACAGCCTGCGACCTGTTTAGAATCATCAGCTAACATCGGGTTAGCAGCACTATGTTTAGATCCATGTTCTTGTTACTGGATAACCACTCAAGAGTAAAAGACCCGCAGTTGTTAATATACTGCAAACTCTTCAGAGTCACACACATATACTTAAGAGCCATTGGAAAATTCACAACCTATGAGAAAAAGAACGAGTGAAATGTCAAATGTATTTCCCACCAATCATTCTGTACACTATATGTATGTCTACTATTAACAGGCTTTACAGATATTACAAGGCTTGAGTTTCACAACAAAAATACAAGCTACTGTGTCAGTTCTCGTCTGTTAGCTATAGTGTACTAGCTAGGATAAACCATTCAAATATCATACAAAAACCCACATACACACACACACACACACACACACACACACACTCACACACACGCTCACATGCAAATGCCAGGAGGTTAACTCATTACACTAGAGGGATTAGCCCATTTGTCACTGTCCCATGAGAAGTGGTTTTCATATTCCAGTCTGGAGAAGCTCATGATGACCAACAGGATTCCTAGTGAACACTCACTCAGCAGCTGGAGGAGCGAGAGAGTAAACCCCTGCCCTGCCTCAAGGTGGAGCCCTTGAGCAAAGCACCTATCCACCCTAAACGGTAATGCTCATGGAACACCAGTGTTTACAGCCCCCAAGGAATACGATCACGGTAATACAAAGCATTTAACGATGCACTACAGGTTATGTTTGTCATTTGTTGAATCACATCTTGCAAATAAGTTCTCCTCTGTTTCTGAGTTTGAAATTGGCTCATGATAAAGTTTTTGCTTTACAAACATTTACCAACTTGTTCCCTCCAGAACAAGCTATAAGCCCTTCTTGTTTTGCATCTGCAATGCTACTAAACTCGTCCATGGCAGCCTCCATAATCAGCTTTGTAGAAGAAAAAATACGATGTAAAACTGAAAAAAATTACTTTTAAAATGTTTGATTACATACATGGCTTTGTTTAAAACAGAGGACCTTTAAAATGAGCACAACCATAAGATAGATTTGTTAAGAAACTTCAGAGCGATAATATATAGCTATGTAGTTTATGTTGATAGAGAGAACAGACGTTTCAGGACATCATAGAAGTGATTTATCAATGCTCCCGTAACATTTAGTAACAATGCCTGTCAGATATGAAATCAGAAGAAACTGAAATGACCCTCTGTCTGGGAATTGTGACTCTTCTATTAATGCTGGCAAACCACACAGACGATCAACTCACTGGAAACACATTCAGAAACACACTCACACTGACATCATTACACACATTCTGGCAACAAGCTGAGGAACACTAAAGCAATTTAATAAACCCATAATTAACTGGACAAATCAACTTTATATTTCTCCTCTTTATCTCTCTTTTAGGTTTCACACAATTAATACATGAGCACACACACACACACGCACACACACACACACAACATGAATGTGCACTTCCCGAAGCATGACAACCATGCTGGCAGTACAGAACGCTGTGCATGTTCCTATGACAACCTAATGTTTGGGCTACCAACAGGGGTGGAGAAGATTGTTTCCAGACCGATGATATGTGTGTGTGTGTGTGTGTGTGAGTGTGTGTGTGAGAGTGTGGGTGTGGGTGTGGGTGTGTGTACTGACAAGTGAGTGTGTTTGAGACACACAACACCAGTTTTTATATTTTTATATCACTGGATTATATACATGTGTGTGTTTGTGTGCGTGTGTGTGTAATAACGTGTGTGAGAGAGGGACTTTGATATTACACAGTAGCCTAAATTGTTTGTATAAGGGGATGCTCTCTGTGAGTCTGTTTCCAATCACATGTTATTATATACACATGCTACATATAAATGATAAGGGCATAAGTGTGCATGTTTCTATGTGTGTGTGTGTGTGTGTGTGTGTGTGTGTAAAATGTGGTTCATTAAGAGTGAGAGTGCATACAGTGTGCTGAGAAACAAGCTTTAGTAGCACAATGGCTATGATATCGAAACTCTTACACCCTGTACACCTGTTTATGCTACGTTGTGAGGACCCTTGCGTGGCAGTCAATTTCATAGGTCATCTTTTACCTGTAACTAACCCTTAACCTAACCTTTATCCTAAGACCAAATCCAAAAACCCAAAATCTGACATTCCAGATGTCCACTTTCCAAAAAATGTTCTTTCTCTTAAAGCTTGAAAGCCAATCAGGTCCTCACAGGGATGTAAAAAAACCATAGCACAGACACACACTCTCACAGACAGAGTTGGTATCACACCTGGATGGCAGCGCTCACACGTGTGTCACACTTGCTTGCTTTCACACCCACACATCAACGCACCAAAGGAATTTCAGCAGCAGGAATTCAGAAGTGCACATACACACACACACACACACACACACACACACACACACACACACACACACACACACACACACACACACATATTTCTCCAGGGACCACAGTGTGTGTGCATCTGGTGTGTGTGCATCTGTGTTCCCAACGATGTCCTACATCTGATGTTACAAAAAAAGCTTAAAAAAACAAGTGAACATCTCAGCAGCTGGGGCTTCTCCACGCTCCATCTCCTCGATTTCTCCCTCGGTTTCATCCTCGATTTCTCCTCTTTGCTTTCATAAACAAAGATTCCTATACCACTTTCAACCCTTGGCTTCTGTCAGGGGTTAAAACATGTCACTGAAACTCTTAAATAAATAAAAAGACTTCAATAGAAAAGGCCAGAAAGAAGAACATATATTCAAATGAATAACTGAATACTGTACTATTTTTGGCTGAGTCATGTTGAAGTAGGGCTGCATGTTGGTTCAGTTTTTAGCGCTGTTGCCTCACAGCAAGAAGGTTCCTGATTTGAATACCGTGTTGGAAAGGGTCTTGCTGTGTGGGGTTTGCATGTTCTCCCTGTGCATGGGTGGTTTTTCTCAGGGTACTCTGTGTCCTCCCATTACCCAAAGACATGCTGGTTAGATTAATTGGTGACTCTTAATTGCTCGTAGGTGTGAGTGAGAGTCTGAAAGTGGGACTTTCCCTGAATGTCAGACCTTTGATTGACTAGCAACCAGTCCAGGGTGTACCCCGCCTCTCACCAAACGTAAGCTGGAATGGGCTCCCCCCCCGGCAACCCAGACCATGACAAGAGGAATTGACAATGGATGGATTTGACAATTAAGCGCTCAACCGGGAAAAATCAGTGGCAATGTGTGGAAGTTTTGTGCAAGATAAAGCCGATTTAATCCAGATATGCCACAAAAACTATGCAACATCTTTTAAAACTTAACAATTTA